TTCCAGTAATATCTTCCGATGAAGTTTTACACTATTTAAAAACCTTAAAAGCGTCATTTAGGCCTGGACCTGATCATAATATTCCGACCTGTTTTCTTAAAAACTGCGCTGAGAACATCTGCGAGCCTTTACAACTCTATTCAATTTGTCACTTAAACATGGCGTTTTTCCGTCAGCCTGGAAGGAGTCTTTCATAATACCATCGTTACTCATCCGTAAACTCGACCTAATCGGCTTTCAGCCCAGTCTTCTTCAATGGATCTCATCTTACCTCTCTGATAAAACACAAAGGGTTATTGTTAATAATCGTTCTTCCAACATCATTAAATTTTCTTCAGGAGTTCCTCAGGGAAGCCGCCTTGGTCCGATTCTGTTCCTGATATTCATTAATGATATTTCTTCTATAATAAAACATTCAAAAATTTTAATGTATGATGATGATGTGAAACTTTTTTAAACATTGTCCTCTATCGAAGAAAGGTCTTTGTTACAAGCGGATCTGAGCAACGTGGTTAGTTGGTGTAATGCAAACTATATGCCACTAAACCTTCAAAAATGTAAAGTTATGTGTTTCTCTCGGAGGGCTGTTCAACCAGCTATTTATTCAATTTCAAATTATAATCTGAAGCAGGTATCCAATTTTGTCGATCACAATGGATTCCAAACTCAATTTCAACCATCATATTAATGTTACAGTCAATAAAGCCAAAGGCGTTTTTGCATTTGTAAAGCGATGGTCAAAAGAGTTCAAAGATCCTTATGTCACAAAAGCTCTTTTTACCACTTTAGTGAGGCCTATACTAGAATACGGATCTATTGTTTGGAATCCCCGCTACCAAGTTCATTCAGAGAGGATTGAATCAATTCAAAAACAATTCTTGCTTTTTGCGTTGCGTGACTTTAACTGGGATTCAGATTACAATCTCCCCCCTTACACAAGTCGTCTAAAGCTCATAAATTTGCCTACACTCGCAAGTCGTAGAGAAATGCTGGGTATAATATTTATCGTAAAATTAATGACAGGCTTGATTAATAGCCCGGCCCTCCTGGCTGAGGTAAATTTTAATGTGCCCTCTCGAGTGTCAAGACACTTTCAACCTCTGTTTTTGAAGCCATGCAAAACTAATTCTGAACTAAACGAATCATTCCGTTGTTTATGTCAAGATTTTAACTCTCATTCCAGCACGTTTGATATATCGGATTCGAATTTTACTATAAGGAAAACTATCATTTCCACTCTCAATAATTGAAATACTATCTTTAGCATATCCAATCAGCTGATGAATTTGATTCTGTAGCTGAATAGTTTTAGATCTCGACACTTAACAAACTCCTGTTTCCACTACTCGGCACGAAAAAACTAAAAAAAAAAAAAA